CCCCCTCCCCGCACCCCCGGGGGGGCTCTCGCCTGCTGCTGTTGCAGCTGCCGGCCGGGACGTTGCGTTTCGGACCAAAAATCCTGGCCGAGTCGGCGTGTGTCGCTGGGATGAAATGAATTTCGGTGAGCCTACCTGGGTCCTCCAGGACCTACCTGGGCCCCGGCTGGGCGCGCGGGCCACGCGTCTCGCCGACGCCCCTCCCCACCTCCACCCCCCACGTCCCCACGGCGCACCGGGGGCAGATGAATACGTACTGCCGAAGAGACAATCCGACTGCGATACCCAAATCAGACCAAAATAGGCAAAGTTTGTGCTTTACTATAAACGCGACCGATTGTTTCGTTTCTGTGGTAAAACATCCCCCTCTGCTATACCAGCTCGTCGACAGTGGCGGAAGGCGGAAGGAGGTCTGGCCTCTCTGGACCATCTCTGCCTGCCACCGCCGCTCCGTGCCACCGCATAAGGAAAGAAAACGCTCCGAAAATAAAAAGGGAGAAATGAGGAAATCCACACCCGACACCACTTAGGGGCGGCCGGGGCTGCCTGACTCGACACGTGCAACCTGGTCCTGTGCCATGGGGGTGGGGGCGGGGGTGGAGGAGACGTGCCGATGCCATGCGTGCAGTGTTGCCAACTTGATGGCGACGAACATGGATTCAGCACGCATTTTCTTCGAACTTCAACCAGAGAGACTGATATAATCATGTGTCATGGTAAGAAAGGACAGGCAGAGCTTGGGGCTTGCTGCACAAGGTAGAAGTTTGAACTCTAGCGGCCTCATCATTCACTCCAACTGGGCTTTGACAACGGCGGAGTCATCTGTATGGAATTCGCGCCCTCGCTCTAGTTGTAGAGCAACTGGCATAAGAGATCTCGTCATTTAGCGGGGTGGGGAGAAATAGGCAATAAAATGCACGAGCAGACCTACGCCACTTCTCGATGGCGTGAGCCGGATGTACGTCCACGAGTTGCACTGGTTCCGTTTTCCTGTGCACACCTCACCTCACCGCACCTGGGACCGGACGAGGTGGGGTGGCCTGCCGCACCCTGCCGCGTCGGCCACTCATTCGGTGCGGCTGCACGATGGGTTGCCTGCCCACCAGGCGCCCAGGCCCGCTCACGGTGTGAGCATATGTAGTAATTATGGGGAAAGAGCCGTGAGGCATATTACTCGGGAAAATGACATGCATTCATTTGTTCGTTTATTCACGAAGCACTAGCACATATTTTATAGCAGAGCTAAGAACAAGGTATCATTTTATGAAGATTTAAATAATCAGTCAAAATCCCATGGCCGTTCGGCCTGATTCAGATCACATATAACGCCCCTAGTCTCAGTGAGACAAGCTTCAATAAGAATAGAAGTAGTAGTAGTAGTAGTAGAAATAATAATTAATATTATAAATAGTATAAATAAACAGATCACCAGTTGAGATCACAGTCGTGCCTGCTCCTCCATGGCCTCCTGCGGTTCCGGGGGCAGCTGCGCGTCGGCCTCGGCCGGGGCCCCGGTCAGCCCGCTAATGTCGGGCCGTATGGTGGGGTCGACGACCTTGCCCACCACGATAGTCAGGTTATCCAGGTTGTCGCGGAGGTAGAATACGAAGGGGTGGTTGGCGTGGAACACGTTGAGTCCGCTCCTCGTCGACATGCTCATAGCTGAAGGAAAATGACACAAAAATCTGTTAGTTTTATCTCGGAGCCATTGTGGAAAATGGTACAAGTTCTCTGTGAAAGTACCTGTAAGGTAGTTGGCGATGGCATTCTTGTCGTCCACCTTGAACCGAACCAGTTGAGCCATGGCGTCGTCCTGCAGGTACACGCGCTGATTCTTAGAGATGCCGGGGAAGTCCGCTGCCTCCTTGTCGAGCATGGCGGTCATGCCGAGCTTTCGGAAGACGGCCTGCGGGTGGGTGATGCAGTCGAGTTCGAACTCGGGGATCGCGACGTCGACTTGCTTCTCTCGCAAGTTCTTGGCGAGGTAGCGGAACGAGTACTTGGACAGGTTCTCGGTGAGCTTGGCCAGTCCGTCTCGTGCGCGAGGCAGCAGCACCAGCAGGGAGTAGCGCCCGTTGTCGCCCTAGAATCAAAACGATTCGTCAGGCACCTGCCCGGGCTACAGGACAGGTGTTCGGGTACGAGACGCTGCACTCGCTCGATACTCACCTTGTAGGGCAACTCGACGGCGGTCGCGTTCAGCTCCTTGATGTCGCCGATGCGGAAGCTACCCTGGGTCCGGAGGGTGGTGATCTCCTTCTGCACGCCCTCCGAGACGTAGAAGTCGTCGTTGAACTTGGCGTCGAACGGCACCTCCCACTCGCCCTTGTAGAACAGGGCGTTGAAGGTGGTGAGCAGTGCGGGCCCGCTGCTGGGCTGACGGTCATTGACGTCCTCTGCGACACAAAGTATTACGTAGTCACCAACCTGTGTGCAGAGCTGCAGCTTCATCGTGTAAAAGTTAAAGAAACTCACCAGAGTCCTCGCGTCCCTTCTTCTTGTCATCCTTCTTCTTCTCTCCCGTGGGCTTTTTCACGTCCTTGCTGAATTTGGCTAGAGATATCTTATCAGTCTCGGCCGGCTTTGCCTCGGACTCGGGGAGCAAGGCCTCCTCCTCGCCCTGGCTGGTCGCTGCCTCCCCGACCTTGGCCGTGTCTTCCTGGTGCACTCCGGCATCGGCAGAGGCCTCGGCCGGGACGACAGCCTCAGGCATCTGGGCCTGCACGGGCTCAGCCACTACGATTGGGGTCGGCTCCAGGATCTCGGCTTTTCCAGCGTCCTCCGCGGTCTTGATCTCCTCTTTCAGAGTCGTGATCTCGTCAAGTTTGGGTACCTCGGGGACCACGGCAGCCTCGGCGGCGGGCGCGGCCTCGGCCATGTCCTGGTCTTGGACCGGCATGGGTGGCTGGAGCTCCTCGCTGGGCTTGCCGACGGCCTCGGCCATGACGGGCACCTCGGGCTCCTTCCCCACTTCCACTGGGGCGGCCGGGGCCGGCGCTGGGGCTGCGGGGGTGACCTCTTCCTTGTTGATGAAGAACTCGGTGGGGGTGTCCTTCTCGGTCTCCTGGATGTCGCGTACTTCCATCAGGTAGTGGTCCCTGAGCGTCGCGAGGTACGGGTCCTCGATCTTGGTGCTCTTGGCGTACACGTAGAACCAGCTGCGGAACTCCGGCTTGCTGACGGCGTTCTTCTCCTGCAACGCAACGAACCCTGAGACCTGCACCACACCACACACGACACGTCGAGATGAGCCGCGCACCTCGCGCACATACTGACCTTCATCCTGCTGAGCACGAGGCGGTAGGTGGCTCTGGTGAGCGAGCTGTCCTGGGGCAGCTTGAGGGCGGCCAGCATCTGGGATCGCGTCTTGCCGACGGCGCCCTCGGCCAGCGCGGCCAGGATGGCGGAGTAGCCCAGCGGAGAATAGGCGGCATTGCCCTTCGCCTCCGTGTCCTGGGGCACAACAACAGCCACCATGGTGAGAATCACCCCTCTATCGTGAACGCATAACACGCCAGAAAGTACGTCCGGTTTTTCTCGGATTTACTAGATGAATTCGGGAGCTTGGCGCCTGCGAGACTCATGGTAGGCCACTCCACAGTACACGCAAGCACTGCAGGCACGAATGTTGCCTACCTATCAGGCACTATGGGAGCTTGCATGCACTGAACTTGGCAAGTTCCTAACGGAGAATGACGGACGTACTCTCTTGATGATCACTAACTCACCTGCAGTAGCGCAGCCGCGATGTTGTTGATGCCCTCTCCGATGAACGCCCCGGGAGAGGTGGCCTGTTGTTGCTGCTGCTGCGTAGTGTAGGGCAGGCCGGCGCACAGCCCGGCGCCGAGCGCCAGCACCGCCAGGACTGAGAACAACGAGCAAGGGCTTGGTGAGCCGGATCCAGAGCCACGGGTGCGACCATCACCAGGCCTCGGCCTACCTGACAGTGCGATCCTCATGTCGTGGTTGTCGCTGCCGCGTCTCCAAGTAGAGTGACCGCGGGCGCGCTTGACCCCGCTATATGGACCCCGCCGAGCCCCGCTCTGCCCTGCCCTGCCGCAGCCCGCGCACCCCGCCGCCCCGCGGCTTGGCGGAGTCGAGGGACCAGTTGAGTACCCCGTCCGGCCCAGCGCCCGCCCGGAGCGCACCGGTTTCCCGCTCCTCTTCCTCCCCCGCCCCGCCCCCCGCCCACGGCCCCTCGCCCTGCTCCGTGCGCCCCTTGCTGCGCTGCACTGCTCCGCGGATGCTCCGTGGATGCGCCCAGGTGATGTCACCTGCAGTTAGCTCATTCATTGCACTTCCAGAGGGCGCTGACTGCTCGGCCGCGGAGAGGAGGTGCGGCGGGGCTGCTCCAGAACCGGTTGCACCGATGCAGCGACCGGCCGAGGCTCGCATCGCAGATTCCTCCCCTCCTGTCTCCGACGGCTAGCTCCACGGGCTCCGCGGCCGGGGCCGGGACGTGAAGGCGTGCGAGGTCCCAAAGATTCGTTGCACCTCACGTGAAGTTGGGCATCGGCTTGACAGGCGTCAGTCACTCCGTGGCTTTTCTCATCGAACGGCTTGAGATATTTTCCCTCACCACCCCCGCCCCCTCCTCCCGCGCCCAGCTCTCGGGGCTATCGGGTTGCGAGCCAACGCCCGGCCGTCCCCCCAGACCGGCCGGTCGGCAGCAGAGGTACCTTGATGTGGACGTCCCAATAAGCTCCTCGTCCTGATGGTCCGCTAAAAATGCCACTTCCCGTTGCAGGCCAGCCGATGCCACACACTCACACGCACGGGAGGCCGCCGCCGCGGGTGACCCCCCCCCCCCTCCCCCTCCTGGTATCCTGCTGTTGGTATCGTAGTTGTGCCTGGCGCCCCCCGGCCGCGCGTCCGCAGGTCCGCAGGCCCCGCGAGGCTGCGAGGCATCCGAATACTACCCGTCCGGCGCGCGGGGGACGACGAGGCGAGGACGAGGGCCTATCGCCGCGAACGCAGACCTAGCGTAGGACGTTTGGCACCGGGTTATAGTCCGGTTTGGCCATCCAAATCGGGCCACCACGAAAGCAAAGAAAGTGACGGGGTCGGGGGAAATGGGGCACGGGGAGACCGCGCCTCTGCCTCTGCGCCACAGAGCGGCGGCGGCGGGCGCGGGGCGACAGCTCGGAGTGATGTCCGCTCTATCCGACCTCCCTATCCTCTCTCGCCGCGAGCACTTCTCTCTCCCAGTTGCCAGGGGAAGGCGTGATTACACAGTGGAAGTCCCCCACCGTGACACAAAGCAAACGTGTGCCATTCGATATCGATATTCGAAATCAAGCCTTTTTATCCTCCGCGAAAACGACCCCCTTGCTGTGATACCGGTCAGTCAGTCCAGTGCTCACAATCTTGCAAATGCTGCGCGACGCGGCCCTTATCCCCCTCTCCGCCCCGCGGTTCTTGCGGTCAGCCACCCCGGAGAGGAGCATCCGAGCAGCGCACCGGAGTGGCCGGGAGAGGAGAGGAGAGTGGTGGAGAGGAGAGCGGTGGAGAGCCGATCCGCAGTATCGGTGCGGAGACCGGGCGGGTCGGGACCAGACGGGACAGAACATTAAAAGTCACTTACTGGGTCGCATCCAGTGGCTCCAGGAGGAACGGCCACCCGCCTCAGAGAGCAGACTAGAGGTGTTGTCAGGCCGGGCTACGGGCTATATACAGAGAACAGGACGAATTCCACTCGGGGATCGACGCTTGCTTTGTCCAGGTTTACACCGATGCGTTTGGGTCTCGGAAAACGGCTTTCAGTTAGCCTTCAGGTCAAAATTGAACAGGTTGAGTTGCATCCTTTCCTCGACTGATCCACTAATAATAGTAAGTTGTCTGAATGTGGTACCGGAATTGCATTATAATATTTATTTACCACAGTTCATATTTTCCGACAAAACAGCAGTTTAATTTTTACCTTTTCTTTTAAAAAAATACAATAAGTAATGAA